ATTTGCAGTATTGTCATCATTTACACACTTGTCCCACGCTTACAGGAATTTCTGCTCTTGGTATTGCCAAGGTGGTATTTTGTTTGTCACATCACAAAAGTACCCTCTTTACATGCAGCTCTGCCTGAGTGTAGCACAGGGATAAGACACGCTCTCTCACAGAGAGCTTTTGTAGACACACTTAAAATGTGGAACACTCTTTTCTCTTGTTTGCATGCTTTCCTCCATATTCCCAAGTCATTCTACTTAAAGTTGTGTTTGGCAATGCATCCCTTTTTGCTTTGTATCAGGGTTGCTTCTGGGTTCATCTCCCCCATGATACTGTGCTTTATTTCAGGGTAGAGCTGTGTCTGGCGTCTGTACCTTCGGTGTGTTCTAGGAATCTGAAAAATGGTTTGGTGCATAACGATATGCGTTGAGGACTTGACAGTGTTTTAGATGTTGCATGTCATCTCCCTTCTGCTAAGAGCATTTGATTCTCTTCATGTCCCAAGCTCAGTCCTGGGAACAAGAACAACTTATTTCGTATTTGTTTAACTAGATGTTGCATTTCTGTGTAAGAACCCAGTAAATGAACCGAGAATATGCTTATAAGGCATGCAGACACATCCTCGGTGGCTGTCAGTTCAGCAGAACAAATTAATTAGTTGAAATTATCCTTCTTAGCACTGAAGAAAAACTAGCCTCTTCCTAGAAAATGCACTTTGCTAGTTATAGGATAATAATTCCAAGTGTGGCGATGCCAGCCAGCACCTCCCCTTCGGCCATCTGGAGCGGTATTCTTGCATGGCAATGTCTCCTAGTCCCTGTTTCTCTCCTGAGCTTTATCTCTTCTCCCCTGTGCTTGCCTTTATGATAGGATGATGTATGTTCCTTTCTTCTTTTCTTCCTCCCTAACAATTCTTAACTTCATAATGTAGTGCTTTGCTCTTTTATATCTCTATGTATTAAAAAGTATGCATTTATTGGAATTCTTAAGGAAGGGAAAGCATAAGGAAGCAGAAACAGCCTCTAACATTGATAATAAATTTCTATTGATGGTGTGAGGAAGTAGTGTATATATATATATAATGGTTCAAAGGTTAAAACACAAAAACCATTTACAATATCAGAGCATCTCTCCCTCGCCCATTTACCTTCCAAGTGCCTCTACACAGTGTTAATTATAGTTAACTTCTTCTTGTGTATTTTTTAATAAAATGTTTTAGATATACACCCAGCATTTGAAAGTTGAAATGAATGTATGTATATATTTTCTATTTATAAATAAGAGTCTCATGAATACTGCTCAAGACCTATTATTTATCATCTAATATATCTTAGAGATCTCTCTCTCTCTACCTTGCAAAAGATCTACCTTGTTATTTGTAACTGTTTCATGTGTTCCATGGGTGGATGGTCTTATTTATTGTGCATTAATATTTTGCCTGAATTTGAATAGTTTTAGTCATCCAGCTGTGAATATTCATATACATATGTCTTTGAACACTTCCACAAAGGATGTGTACACTTCATATCTTGACAGCTGTTGCTAAATTACCCTCCAAAAACTAAATTAGTTTTCATTAATTTAGACCCCATATCAGAATGTTTGAATATGTCTGTTTCTTTGTCAAACTTCTCTGATTTTTGCCAATACAATAGAAAAATTGTATTGCAGTGTTTTGATTTCTTTGATTATGATTATCAGTGAAGATAATGACCATTTTGAATTTACAGGCAATCTGTAATTTATCTGTGAATTGCCTGTTCCTATTATTTGGCCCCTTTTCTGTTTGATTTTTTTTTTTTTTCTTATTGGTTTATATGAGATCTTTAACCACTTTCTTAGATGTTTCCTGAGTCTCAACCTAAAATAGTCACTGAGCCATTGAATCTCATATTGATGTGTTTTCATGCTCTACATCGAATTTTGGTTGGATATTTTTCTCACTTGTTCATGGGTTTCATTTTCTAGAATTTAAACTTGAAGAGAGCAGGGATTTAATCTGTCTTGTTCAACACTGTAGCCCTATCTCGCAGATCCAAGACTGACTCATAATATTTGTTTAATGAATAGCCAGATATTTGCTTAATGAATGAATAAATTGAAATTAAATTAGCCTATGAGTATCATAAATATTCATTAATAGTTTGTTTTTATTTTGCTTATGGTATTTTTTTCCAAATGGAAGCTTTGAATTTGTATGCAGCAAATTTATCAATCTTTTCCCCTTTATGATTTCTGGACCTTCCTCACTCCAAGCTTATAAATAAGTTTACCTGTGCCTCCTTTGGAAATTTCTAGTTCCATCTTTTAGATTCAAATCTTAGACTTCTATAAAAATTTAATTTTATTAAAGTGAAGGATCTAGTTTTGATTTTTCTAACAGCACTTGGCTAGCCCATCGTCATTCTTGGAATTCTTCTTCCCTCATTGATTTAGCACAACTTGTAAAAAGCTACATTTCTGCATGTATCAGATCTCTTTCCAGACTCAATTATTGTTTTAATTACTAGTTTTATGATATGTTTTAATGTATGATGGAACTGGTTGTTTTTCTTTCTTTTTTCTTTTTTAGGATTCTTTGTGGCTGTGGTAGTAGTTTTTTTCACATAAGTTTCATGATCATTTTGTCAAGTCTGAATTAATGAACGTGAGAAGAGTTAGCATCCTCTGGCAAAAAGTACTTAGATTTGCACTTAAGTTACAAATGTTCTGCTAAAACTTTTGAGTATATGGATGTGACTGCTTATACCTGAGCATGATGAACTACCATGATGTTATCTTTAATCCTAACTGCTTGCTTTAGTTGCATCCTACAGAAGATGATTAGATACAGGAAGACCTAAGTCCCTGTCTTTATTTGCTACTAATGAGCATTTAGCTCTTGACAAGTTATTTAATCTGCGTCTCTGGTCATGTTACCTCATCTGTAAAACAAGGATAATGCTGCTCATTCCTTGATCAAATAATACTTTGTTTGCCTGCTTACATTTGAGAGCTGTTGTGAGAATTCCAGTAAAATTTCTTTTTGAAAATGTCAAAGTCTTTTGGTTAAACATTGTGATTTAAAAGCATTTCACTTGCTATGGACAGTCTTTCCCACTAAAATGATAACACAGGAATTTTATTTTTAAAGTCATAGCTAACAAAAACAAAAGAACAGGCCAAGAGACTGCAGCAAAAAAAAAAAAAAAAAAAAAAAAAAGGTATCAGCAAAATTTTTGAAGCTGGGAAGTAGACAGTCAGTAGTAACTGATTTAGTGGAGCACAAAAGGCCAGAGCTCATTGTAAGAATCAGGAAGACACAAGTTGGTTAAAGTTGAGGAGCTGGAGGTACCTGGTGTGTCTGAAAGCTAGGGCTGAAAACAGGAGGATTCTAGATCACTCACTCACCAACTGAATTTTAAGAAAAGTTGTAAGACTGAGGACAGGGTCTGTGTGAGGTGGTTCACACCTGTAATCCCAGCAATTTGGGAGGCTGAGGTGGGAGGATTGCTTGAGCCTAGGATTTTGAGACCAGCCTGTGCAAAAATAATAAGACCTCCAGAGAATGAGCATGGGGGTGTACTATGAGGGGAAGTTGGAAATGGAGTAGGTTTTCCATTGTAGGAAGTTAAAGATAATACAATTAAAATATTAAGAAATAGAAGAATATAAATGCTCTTAGGAAGGAGATATTTGACAGATGAAACCATACACAGGAATTGAAAGTGATTGTGGAGGCAAAGGGAGAGGACAGGAGCTTCTTTCATCTTAGAATAAGCCTTGGTAGTATTAATTAGTAGTATTGATATTTAGTAGACTATTAAAATTGTATATATATATATCATAGTGATAAAAATTTAAATGAAATAAAAAATATACTATCGTAAAAAAGTGAGACTAGCACAAGGCTTGTTGTCTAGGTGCTTAATAAAATTTGTTGAATGGACAAATATTTAATTATTTAAAAAACTCTAATTTTCTCTTGCGGGAATTAAGGTTACATAATGTGCTTTAAGGTTTGATGTGCAATATATTTGGAATATCACAGTACAAGAAACAAGTTTTTAATGTGAGGAATTGTGGTGGCCTTTGAATAAAGTTAAAAAATAAACTGAACCTTGATTGTATTTTATACTTTTCATCAAGGAAGTTTGGGAGTTAAAATGACAATAACAACAATTATTCATTGTGATGTATTGAGCAAGATGTACTTTCTCTACCAGAAAACCTCTGTGACTCAGGCATTGGTATATGATTTTGGGCCTAATAATTTTCTTCTCTTTGTCTTTTTCTTTCTTGGAAATGAGATTAAAATTCATTCTGCCTCAGGGTAGGCAGTTGAATATTAGAGAAATCCTGGGACCTGGGTCTTTGGTATAATACTGTAAACATAGTAACTGAATCTGGAAGTTAAGTTGCCCCTTCCAAGAAGATAATCAGAATGTTGAAAGCTAAAGGTTTAGTTATAATTGTGTGATCTATTTGGAGCAAAGTATCTCCCCTAGGTAGCCCAAAGTTCTGCTCAGATTAGATGTGACTGATCAATAACAGGTATATACTTATTCTCCAGGATGGAGAATGTTTTAATAGCAGAATTGTACTGCAGGATTGAGTCTAGTATTCCTATGTAAGTTGCTATGAATTTATTAGAAAAAATACTAGAGAAATACCAAGAGGTAGTATTGTGTGATAGTTCTTAAGGAACGAAATTGATTTGTTTTTCTCTGTAAGACACAGATAAGTTTTGCTCACATTGTATTTTCATTTGTGAGAGTTGTACCTACTGGTCTAATATCATGACCATCACACTGGCTTTTTAATCTAACAGTTTTACACTCACAAAGCTATTCTGCTTGATTATTTTTGCTGTCTTCTTATATAAGAAAATTTCACATCCAAGTAGTAATTTAATAAAAGTTTCAAAAGTGAAATATTGCACCAACTAAGGTTAAATAAGTAATTGATTTGGGCGTCTTCTGTACAGCCTTATTAATTGAAAGCCATGTTATAAAACTTTTATTGCTCCTAGGGTGAATTGCTGGCATTTAAGCAGCAGCAGCAAGAGGAAGAAAGAGCCAAAATCTACCAAGCTGAGCACAGGAGGTACTTAATCAATGATCTATAAAGTCTTTGCAACAATTTAGGAAAACACTACAGTAATGACATTCAAAATGTTTGGGAACCTTTAAATCTTATCACAGTGTGATATATGTATGAGAAATGCCCACTGCTACATATGTATGTAGACACATGTGTCTACATACATATGTACATACACACACAATATCTGGTTTTCTGGGATTGGTGGCACTATAAATTCACATTGGAAAACTGAATCATCCTCTCAAGATTCATGTTTATTTAGGTTATATTTAATTTAAATTCCATGGGACAAAGCATCATAATTTGAGATGATGCTTTTCCATTTATGGATGACTAGAATAATTGAATGTGTATAGATGGTTAGATAACCATAGTTGAGTGTGAAAGCTCAAACAAAAAACTCATTGAAATTTTTTTGCATTTGGCCAGGCAACTGTGGCTCACACTGATAATACTAGCACTTTGGGAGGCTGAGGTGGGAGGATTGCTTAAGTCTAGGAGTTTTAGACCAGTCTAAGTAACATAGTGAGACCTATTCAATAATAGGTCTATGCTTATTCTCCAGGATGGAAAATGTTTTACTAACAGAAATGTACAACAAAATTGAGTCTAATATTTATTTGTAAGTTGCCATGAATCAAAAAATAACAAAAAATCAGAAAGTTAGCTGAGGGTGGTGGTGCATGCCCATAGTCCCAGCTACTCAGGAGGCTGAGGCAAAGGATCACCTGAGCCCAGGAGGTCAAGGCTGTGGTGAACTGTGATCCATGCCACTGCAGTCCAGCCTGAGTGACAGAGTAAGATCCTGATTTAAAGTTAAAAAGGTATTTTACATTGTCTAATACATTAAGGGAAAAAAAAATCCTTCAAATAGAACCATTACCTAATTTTTAATAGTGTAAGTGCTCTCTATCTTAATGCCAGTATCAGGTGTAAGAACACCCAGTAAGTTACCATGTTAACATTGAGACAGCGCTAGTAAGCACCACATTCTCATCATTATGCTAAGATTTACCTGGAAATGGGCACTGGGTCTATTCAAGTTTATTGGGAGTGTGCTTGAATATCTTAGAGAAGAATTTAAGGGTTTTCATGATTTAAAGGAGTAAATTTGTTTGAAAGGAATTACTGCTTATATGTACTTAACCTTCCTGCTAACACGAACATGTATTTTACAGTTGTGGTAGTTTCATTTGTAAGTGAGGTACTTTAAAGAGTGTTAATTGGAAAGCCCCAGTTCTGTTGGTGTCAGTGTGGGTGGGTGCTCATATTCTTTTGACTGGACTTTGTGAATTTTTATCATTTTCTCTCATTTGAGAAAACATCAAAATTCTGATACATTAGTTAAGTTATTTTGCTAGGCTGGACTTGGTGGCTCAGTCTGTAATCCCAGCACTTTGGGAGGCCGAGGCAAGTGGGTTGCCTGAGCCTGTGGGTTCGAGACCAGCCTAGGCAATTGGCGAGACCTTGTCTCTACAATAAATCAAAAATCAACTGGGCATAGTAGCACGTGCCTCTTGTTCTGGCTACTTGGGAGGCTGAGATGGAAGGATCGCTGGAGCCCAGCAGGTCGATGCTGGGGTGGTGGTGAGTGTGCCACTGCACTCCAGCCTGGGCAACAGAGTGAGACTCCAACTCAAAAAAAAAAAAAAGCAATTTTGCTGGGTAAGATAGCAGGGGGAAATAAAGTAGGCCAGTAATTAGTCCTTTTTAAAAATTATTTTTTCTTTAAAAGGCCTTCTGTTAAAAAAAAAAAAAAAAAAAGAAAAACCTGATTTGTATTTATATGGCACTGGTTTCTAATCCTAGCCAGTTATTTCTGATTCCTGAAGATTAATTGAATTGTAAGGCTTTAAACCTTTTAAAAATAGTGATGCATCACATTTATAGGTTCATTGCTAAGAAATTAATCTTTGATAAGCACCCTATAAAAGCACAAGTTATTTGATTAGAGGTGGAAAGATTACTTTCGTGATATAGGAATCTTGACCCTTATTCTTTATGTTTATTATCGCACTGCTGAATACCTAAATATTGTTGGATCTGTTTATTTTCCGCACTTTATTTTCTCTTTCTATTGATTTTATTTAAATGTAGATCTGAATTTAATCCAAGGGGAAATTTCTCTGGATAATAAACTCAGTAATTAGTTAAAAAAATCTGATCAAGTCTTTAAATACACATTTTATGTTTTCAATCAAGTTTTTAAAAATAACTTACATGTGTGTTGTCCTTAGAACTTATAGTGAACTTTCCCACATTACCATGTGAGAATATTCATTCAATAGCCTCTTAATAAGTAAAGTAGCTGTGTCTATTCTTACTCAGCTATATAATATGTGAATAAGGGACATAAGTGTGTTTTTTTTCCCAGGGGCATAATTTTATTAGAGTCAAAAAACGTGCTTTCTACTCTTTAGAAGTTCACATAGTAGAAAACTCAACCCTGAGTGTTATATTAGAAAGTTTGTGGAATTCTTGACAAGCTTTTCAATGAATCCTATAATGAGGTCAAGTGCTCCTGAACCTGACCCATGGTAGATATTTGAGTAGGAGAAGACAAGTAGAAACTCCAGAGAGAAAAGCTGAGCATGGGGGTCAAGGACTTGAAAGGATCTGGGTCACCAGATGAAAACTAGGATGAGCTGAATTGATTTATTCAAGCTTGAATAAATGGTTTTTATCCAAATTAACCTTCAGAAAACCCCAAAGCACAACTTCAACAGCAATAGAATGTATGTATTTTCCCACCCATTATTTCTGGATGACTCAAACTTCAGTGAATACAGACCAGTTGAGAACACTTCTAAGGTATCAAGGAGAGCTCAACCACTCTGATGTCCTTGTCATAGTTGATGCTCAGAACTGAATGGCACTACGTTGTGTCTTCCTGACAAGCTGTCAATCTTCCCAGGATTTGAGTGAATTAAGAGTAATTGACACTGAGCTGTTTTGCAGTCTATACTCAACACCTATGATGTTTTCAAAGGTGGGGACCATGTGTCAGGAAGATCTTTCATTCAGTAATTACATTATCAGAGCACACTGTAAAAGCTTTGTCTAGACACTGGGAATTGGGGTAAACAAGGCAGAAGAGATCCCTGACTATATGAACAGTACAATCTGGAGGAAAGAAATAGAAGTCAACAATTAAAAAACAAGATTATTTCAGACAATGATATGTACAATATCATAGGATGTTGGAATGAGTTTGGACTTCTGGAGTCCCAAATGGTTAGATTATGGTGGGTGAGGAAGATAATAACAAGAATAGGAAAGGTAGGCAGGAGAGAGACTGCACAAGATTCTGCAAGTCACTGATTTCCTTCTAAGACCGATGGGAAGCCTTAGGATGGTTTTAAGCAAAAGGAGGGCATTGATCTCTTGTATAATTTAGTAAGATTGTTGTGTGGTGAATGGATTACAGAGGATGAAAGCGAAAGCACTAGTTCGGTGAGAGATGAGGGTAGTTTGAACTAGAATGGTGTCCATGGAAAGATATGGATAAATTCAAGATGTGTTTCGGAAGTAGAACCAAACAAGACTTCTAGCTATTTGGATGTAGGGTGGGGAGTGCTAAGGGAAAATACATCTTTGTTACTGATACAAAGACTAGACAACAACAGCCCCAGGCATGTGGGCAGTCTAGGATACCATTGGTTGTGTTGTTTAAGGGGAATCAGGTTCAGTTTCCTCTTCCTTAATAGGCAAGTCGCCAGTTTAATAAGATTCTATTCCATCTGCATGATGAGAGATTGAGAAAAGGTGACTTAAGGCTGGGTGTAGTGGCTTATGCCTATAATACCAGCACTTTAGGAGATGGAAGCAGGATATTCACTTGAGACTGGGAGTTTGACATCAGCCCGGCAAGCATACTGAGGGCCTTGTCTCTACAAAAATTTTATTTTTAAAAAAGTAACTGAGCATGGTAGGGCATATCTGCAATCCCAGCTACTAGGGAAGCTAAGCTGGGAAGATCACTTGAGCCCAGAAGGTCAAGACTGCAATGAGACAAGATTGTGCCACTGTACTCCAGCCTAGATGACAGAGCGAGACCCTGTCTAAAAAAAAAAAAAGAGAAAGAAAGAAAGAAAAGAAAAGATGACCTAAACATTGAGCTCCACAGTGAACCAGATTGGCCAGGATATGACACTTAGGTAGATTTTACCTTAAGAGGGAAATAAACTTTACAATAGCTGGTATAATGTAAAGTTGTTGAGAAACAGCTAGCACTGGGCAAGCACAGATAAACAAAATGACCCCAACCCTTGACTTTGCCAGCCAGCTGTTACTGTCTTCAAAGTTCCCAAGTTTCCCACAGTCATGATGTATAGCCACTCGCCGTGACCATGTTCATGACTGAACTAGGAACTCACATGGCTGGTTCCCTTCCTCCTGTGAGTGTACACTGAGCGGCTGCTCTGCACCAGGCCTCGTGTTTCATTGTGTTTCAGATATCTGTGGATATCGTAATGTACCTGTTGCAATGTGTTCCTCTAGCTTCCAAGTCCCTGACTCTATTCAGTCATACATGGACAACTAAGTCATGATTTTACCTTTGATTTATTATTTTAAATTTTAAAAAGTATAATATGCAACACCTAAAAGTCCGCAGAACTCCAGCTCCAGAAATAGAATATAATCCTGCTAGTTTTCAGTTCTACTTTTCACTTAAGGGGTTAAGTGGCAGTGGGGTACAGGGTATATGGAAAGGACATCTGTCGTGCAGCAATAGCACAACAGAGCTATTTTTGATTCTTCTTCATGTTTTGGTTCTTGCTGAAGCTTCTATCTTTCCTCAGCCTCTGGGGTTCATGCCTGGTATTCCTTGAGGAGTGTAGTTGCTTGGGTGAGCAAGGGTCTTGCTGAACTGATAGAAAGTAACAGAGGTGAAACTCTGAAGTTAAGAATTTGTGCCCCCTTTGGTCTGAGCCAAGACTGGCACTAGCTCCTTTTGTAAAGAGCTGTAAATAACATGTCACGTGTTAATGTGAAAAGAAGTTTCTATAGATTTATTTTAAGCTGAAGCAGTCCCCACAGTCAGTTCATACAGCATATTAGGTTCTCAAAAATCTCTTACCCCTGCAGCAAGCTTTCTACGTTACACACATTTTTCATTGTTTTAAAGGGTAAATAATGCTTTTCTGGACCGACTCCAAGGCAAAAGTCAACCAGGTGGCCCTGAGCAGTCTGGAGGCTATTGGAATATGAATAGTGGTAACAGCTGGGTGAGTTTTTCCTTTTCTCTTAAAAAAAATCATCTTTCAAAGTTGAAGAATAAAAACAATGAGAGTTTTAAATACATGTTGTGGCTTTCTCCCCAGATAATTGTTGATTTAATTTTTTTGGTGTGCTGTTCAGCTGTGTGATGGGCAGTCAGCCAGGGTGATTACTGTAAATTCTACAATAGCTTCTGAGAGAAAGTCCTGATTTCTGCTCTAGCCAGTCACAATAAAAAAATGACACCTGCCCTGTGTTCTCAATGTGAGTGCCTAGACTTCAAGACTTTCTATCACCCCTTGCCCAGACCTACAACAAAAACAAATTATTTTTTTCAGGAAAATTTTAAGTGAAATATAGTTATAAAAATAATAAGCATTCTCTAGTAACATTTTCTTTCAGTGAAACTCGCACATCAAAGAAACCAGTAGTTAATTTTTCACTCAAAATGGTTTTTAAAAATTCCTACAGCAAAGGTACTTTTTAAAAACGAAATGTCCTTACATATTTCTGTGAAGAAAACCTTGCAACATATTGTAATATGTGCTTACTGTGTTTTGTGTATGTGATTGTGAGGTTTGTAATGTGCATAGAATCAATACTAACTACAGTAGGTTTAAAACCTGTTTAGTTGAAGCCCAAGTGCATAAGTACTTTCTCTCTCTCTCTCACTGTCATCTATCTATCCACACCAGATAGAAATCTTTAAACTGGTAAAAATATAACAAAATAATCAAGGGCTTGGTTATCTGGAAACTCCAGAGATCTCCCTTTAATAAATACTCGAGGGACATTTTTGAGAAGTCAATATGCTAGAAGTCATATATGCATGTTTCCTTGAAAAGAGATCTCGTATTTAAAATTGATGAATGGATTTTCTAAACACACACATATTTAAGATAATTGAACATAGCAAATTTGCAGAGAATGTATCCTGGATGTGTCTGTTTATCCATAGTGCATGTTCCTTTATTTTGCTGTGGCATTCAGGATAGGGACAGGGACAACATGGAAGAGAGAGAGAAAATAATCAGAGTACAGTATCTTTGTATTGTGTGGTGCAATATATGCATTCCTGACTAATTCATAACAGCATGTGAGTAGGAGTTGTGTGGAAAATGGGGCATGGTAAGTGAAGACATTATCCACGTTCATATAACTTACTTGGGAAGCGCGATTGGAATTCAGATTTTGGTAGTACTTGGAAACTCAGTACATTCATCATGTCTCCTCTACTTAACAACTCCTTAGCCTTATAAAGTTCCTAGAAAAATATCGGGTTGAGGGGAAGAGGATGGGAGAGTGGAAATGGATACCACTTAGGCTTCTGCTAATGAAATGAGGAGTTGGCAACCTGGCTCACCCATGACTATTGGTAGGCCTTAGTAATGAGCTGCAAACCTCTGCTTAGACTCCTTGTGGATCAAAGCGAGGACTATCGCTTTTTCATGATGTCATAACGAGGATGACTGAGTGAAATTTTTAGTAGGATGGGCACATCTGTATCTAAAGTGGTTATTGGTGCTTCCCTTACTTGAAAGAAGCAATGAAAGAAAAGTGAGAACTTCCTCAGGCTCACGCTGCCCTCTTTATTGACCTCCAGATGCCTGCACTTCTAGGCTTGCTTTCCTGATGATTCCATCTCCTCCACTCACTGGGGAACTTTGTTCTACGAATACTCTCCTCTCTTTTCTGAATTGCTAAATGTTCCATCTCAACTAGGAAATTCCCATTAGTCTACTATATAAGGCAAGATAAATTCTGCTGATACGACCTTTTCTTCTTGCTTCTTCCCTATTTCTTTGTTCCTCTTTAGAGTAAAACTCCAAAAGTTGCTGTCTCTAATTTCTTTGTTCCATTGTTTTTCCTTAAACCCACTCTAATCAGGTTTTAGAATCTAGCAGTCAAAAAAAAAACAAATCCATGGTCATTAGCAATGTCCACATTGCAATAGCCATTGATTTTTTTCTCGGTCTTCATCTTTTGACTTATCAGTGTCATTTGTCATGGTGGATCACTCCTTCTTTGAAACTGTTTTTTTACTTGGTTTCTGGAGCACTGTACCCACCTGGATTTCCATGTAACCCAGTGGTGACCCCTTTTTATTCTTCTTTGCTGAATTCCTCACACCCACCTGTCCTCTCAACACTGGAATGCCTCGGGGATTCACCCTGGATCATTTTCTGAACATTACAGTCACTTAATACTTCAATGGCCTCATTCATTCTTATGAAATTAAATACCACCAAATACTTATTACTCCCACATTTCTATTTCCAGCCTAGACTTCTCCCTCCAAACTCCATACTGCATACTCTGTTGTCCAACAACATCTCTTATTGAATGCATAATAGACATTTCATCCTTAACATGTCTAAAATTCAGCCTTTGATCCCCTTGCTTCAATGCTCTAGCTGCATATTTTCCTGTTTCTTCACAATTCTCTCCCATCAGCAAATCCTCTTCACTCTTTCTTCCAGATATATCTAATCCAACAGCTTCTTCCCACACTCACCGCCATCATGCTGTTTTCAGCCTCTAATTGTCATCCAGATTCTTGCAGGAGTCTCCTAGACAGTTTCCTTGCTTTCACACTTACTTACCTAGAGTTTATTCTCAATACAAGAGTGACAGAAGTCAGATCCTGTCTCTCCTCCAAATCCTCCAATGGCTCCCATCACTCTCCAAAAAACTTGGAGTCAAAGCCAAAGTCCTGGCAGCAGCCTACCAGGTGTTGCCTGTCCCAGACCCCATCTTAGCCGTCTTTCCTCACTGCTCTTCAGCTGTACCAGCTTTCTTGCTGCTCTTTGTAAACTTCAACCACTGGTTGCTCCCTCCACACTCTTCACCAAAAATATCCATATGGTATGTTCTCTCTCATATTCCTGAATTCTACCACCTCAGTGAGTTACCTTGGGCATCCTAGGTAAGACTACTACCTGTGCCCTCATGTTGACCCTTGCAACCCCCTTTCTGGGCTTGCCTTCCTTTTTCCATAGCACTCTTCAACTTCTAACATATTTTTCTAATATAGTTTACTTGTATGTTTTGTTGACTACTTACTCTTAGTCTCTCTCCTTGTAATGTACATCCTATATTCCCCAAGAGCAGGGCCTTTAAATTGTTCTGTTTACTGATACATCCCAGGCATAAAACAATAACTGGAACTTACTACAGACACAAGGAAACAAGTGGTTGTGATTCAACATCGCAGTCACAAGGAGATTTATGGCCAAATGATTTGATATGCTAAAATGATTAGATGCTAAATTTAAAATATTTGATGAAATAAAAATTGCATTAGTTGGGTGTGTGGTGGCATATGACTGTAGCCCTAGCTACTTGGGAGAATGGCTTGAGCCCAGAAGTTCAAGGCTGGCTGGAGTGAGCTATAATCAAATCACATCACTGCACTCCAGCCTGGATGACAGACTGAGACCTTGTCTCAAAAAAAAAAAAAAAAAAAAGAAAGAAAGATTAGAGTTGCAATAATGAACAAAAAACAAGAGACATTAAAGAGGACTTGAAAAAGAACAAAAAGATAAAATGAAATAAAGAATATACTTTTTGAAATTAAGAAACTCGAATTTTTCTTATTAAAAGAAATGCAAATAAAGAACTAAAATACCATTTTCCATCTATTATTTGGCAATAAACCCCAAAATTGCCTAAATATTCTGTTGGCAAGGCTGTGGGAAAACAGGTACTTTGCACATTATTGATAGAAATGAAAACAGATGCAAATACTATAAAGATTAATTTGTTACTGTCTACCCATACAATAAAAACAAGGTCTAGGCATATTACAAGAATGTTCTATTAAAGTTTCAAGAAACAGATTATTGCAAATGTGTCTAAAAAGTTTTTCTGATTAATTAAAAAGGAGAAGTGTTCTCCAAAATGATTAAGCAGGTAATTGTGATTTTAAATTAAAATTAGACAACGACTGTACAGGAAAAAAATATGGACTGACTCTCACTCATAAACATAGACTTCAAAAAGTTACAAACAAAATTTTGACAAATTCAATAACAAACTTTTAGAAAGCATAACATCTGATCAAAATTGGCTTTATCCCAGAAATTTATCCCAAGATAAGCAAGCTTGGCTTATAACAAACAAAACAAAGCAAAAACAACTACTGAGATAATTAGCCTCATAAATTATAGGAAAAACTCCGTATGATCATCTCACCAGGTACAGAGAAAGCATCTGATAAAGCTCAACACTCATTTGTGGGTTAAAAAAAAATCTAGAAAACTAGGAATAGAAGGAAAAGGAAAATCTTCTTACCTAATAAAGAGATCAAAACTCTATAATAAAAATACATAAAAATATTTTCTTTAAACTAGATATAAGGATTGCAAAGAAAGTAGCATTTATAAATCACAGATGATACAATTATTTATATAAAAAATTCAAAGTAACATATTCAAATGATAAAATAAATAAGGACTTGGAAATGTTGGTGGCTATAAGAGCAATAGCTAAATAAAAGCTAGTTTCATTTTTGCACATTGAGATTAATCAAAAAAACCTAACAAAAACATTAAGCCAAAGATATATGTGACCCTTTAGAAAAAACTATAAAATTTTGTAAAAAGATATTGGGGAATAATTGGAGAGTGATATCTTGTTAATGGATAGGGATGAAATCTCAAATCATCTATTGATTTACATGAATTGTAATCAAAGCAAAGAACCAGGAATGGCCAATTCATTCCTAAAGATCAAGATGTATATATGGGAACTTAATTATATATTTAATATGTTATACAACTGGCACCAGCAAACCCAGTCATTACTCAAAATTTTTTTTGATTTGAAGTCTCTGTCATTCAAACTGGAGTGCAGTGGCACAATCACACTACCGCTACTGCAACCTCAATTTACTGGGCTCTGGTGATCCTTCTGCCTCAGTCATCCAAGTAGCTGAGACTACAGGCATCTGTCACCACACTCAGTTAATTTTTTTATTTATTGTGGAGACGAGGTCTCACCTTGTTGT